GAGAGAGAGAGAGAGAGAGAGAGAGAGAGAGAGAGAGAGAGAGAGAGAGAGATATAGATATAGATATAGATATAGATAGGAGAGATATAGAGAGAGATTTTTCCCTGACAATATTTTTACCAAAAGTAAAAACCCCCACTGAGTTGAATCCTCTGAAAAGTAAAGAAGCTAATGTATCAGGGTCTCTTCTAGAAAAAAAAACAAAGTTATGAACTGCTACCTTAACATGCAATGATTAACTAAAACCATGATATGGATTTCTTAATAAACTCCAAACTGATTTTCTCTTTTTTAAATGTTTCTTTTCAATGTTTCTTCAAGGAGCAGGCAGTGTATAGAAACTCCTGTTTTTTTTTCCTTACAAATGAAAGGTTTCAGCACCAGGCATACACTTTTTAGAATAAAAGTAGTGTTGCTGGAATGATAAGGGTGAGAAAATTGGCCGTCTGCAGGACTTTGGCAACATTTCTAGAGCACACAAACCCCTCCTTCCCCCAACTCTCTTTGAGGTAAACAAACCATGCCTTAGTTACACTGGCACTAATTTTCTGCATATCCTTAACTTTTGTTCTAGGATGTTCTGATTCTTTTTGCTTTGATACTATTTTCATTTAATACAAAGAACTTCCAGATTACTCCCTTAGTAACCAATTGGGAATTTCTTGTGTGTCAAAAATTGAGAATAGGAGATTGGGAGGGAGAAAGAGATCAAATCCTTCAGACTGGCTCTGAGCTAAGTGGGTTGTGACATTTGATACAACCCAAGTAGTATACTAAATACTGTGAGCTACCTATTGGCCTGTGCTGCATATCAATGCTTGTTGGCAAAACTATGACTGGGAAGAAGAGGACTGGGGTTGAATCTGCCTAAACTTTATGTGTTTATATATTTTTCTAATTAGCTTGCTTCTAGGAGCAACCAATTTAGAATACTGTTCAATGAATATTCATTGATGTATTTGAGAGTTCACACATTCTTGAGATGCCCTTTCTTGCAAAATCACAGTGTCACATTAAACCAAGTAAAAGCTCTTTAAATTAAAATAGTTAAACTATTTGTTTCAGATCTTAATTTATAATCTTGAGCAAAGACATTCTAATTAAAGATTATATAGCTACTGCTAATAAACATTAGGATAAATAATGTTAACATCAAAAATTGGGTTTATGATTCTTTTGGTTTCAAGTAATGGTGTTTAAATAGATATTATGATATCTTTTTTTCCTTCCTTCCTTCCTTCCTTCCTTCCTTCCTTCCTTCCTTCCTTCCATCCATCCTTTCTCCTCCTCCTCTTCCTTCTTCTTCTTCTTCTTCCTTCTCTCTCTCTCTCTCTCTTCCTGCCACCCATCACACAAGAAGGGACACTGGGGTTTACAACAATAATCTTTTTGCATTAGTGTTGTTAATTATGTTTATTTTAAACTGCTATTTCCCTTGTGAGGTCATAGAATAAGCTGTGCAGAATGTACCTCAAGCACCAATAGTTCATTTTATGCTGAGGCTGTTTTTCCAGGTATAGTGAAGTTTGCAATAGCAGTAAGAAAATTACAGAAATAAAATAGTTTGTGTGTTGAGTTTCTTCTATATTGTGTTGATTTGATCAATGGACTCAAATAAGATGTGACATTATTCTTATGTTTATGAAAAGGCTTTTACTGATATTTCCTGGAAAGAGTGGCACTGACATTCCATTTAAAGAAAACTAGATTATTCTATATATCATCACAGCTCGGTTTGGGACGTTAAAGCATAATGGGTAAGATGGAGCTTCTGTGACCATCTCAGGGGAAACGTGGTGATGGAGGAGATGCTAATGATGATGGTGGTTGTCATTAAAACTATCCCCAACATCCTTTTGGAGTAGTGGAAATATGAATTCGCAGTTGGATCATAGTACTCCCAGGTATTCTACTCCTATTGGGATGGCTGTTCAAATATACATAAAAATGATGGTGTTGAACAAACATTTATGTGGTACTTTTTAAGACTTCCTTCATTCTGTCATTTTAACATTAAATCTATATGGAGCCAGTGGGTGAAATATACATCTACCACAGATATGGAACAGGGCACCATCAGTATTTTATCAGATTCCAATTAAACTGTTAAAAAATTAAACTAGATCTTGTGTTCAATATTAGACAGAATGAAGACAAATACATTGAGATTAAATTCATATCAGAAATGCAGTTGAAAATACATTGCTCTCCTGTAGGACTAAATAGTATGTGCCTTTTTAGATGGAGTTTCACTTCCTCTTAAAGGTCATAATTCAGAAACTCAGATCAAAATATTTATTATGCTCATAGACCAGCATAAGAGTTCAGATTTGGGTGTTCAACTGACTTTAGTGATCACACTTAGAATTTAATTTTAGCCTTTTTCTAGGCAGGAATGTTCGCTACAATAATAGGCATCTTGCTAATGTTCCATTTACATTTGTAGTGTTTTGTGCATGTTTGAGGTACACTTTTGTAAATTACAGTTAATTCAAAATGGGGCAGTTTAAAATGGATCAAGCTAGTGGAGAATAAATCATCATTTTAAAACAGTGCACTGGCTGCAATGGTCAGTTGCCAAATTCCAATTAAGGTTTTGGAGTTTCATTTAAAGACTTAAGAATGTTTGAAACACTAAGGATCCCCCTTCTTCCACATTGTAACTATTAGAATCCTTACTGAAGACATTTCTCAGTGCTCCAGCCTCTCCTGCAAAATTATTTTTTGGCTATGGTGCTTTAATTCTGGAATTCTTTCCCCCATAATCTTGTCCAGCATAACTTCAAAGAATTACAGTAAAGTTTTAATGCTGATTATCTGCAGCAGACAGAATAGCAGTCAGACTATAGGAAGATGAAAATGAGGAAGGAGAAATAGAAGGAGAAGAGAAGGATAAGCACAAGCACAAGGAGAAAAGAGAATTTCCATTTCTTTATGACGGTTCCATGTTTTATTCAGTGATAATGATGATATTCTGAAAAGAATAGGCCTTCTGTCTCTGAGGGACTCTTATATTTGCACTCTAACACCTTAATAAGAGTAGCTGCATTTGGCAAATTTTATGTTCCATGGAGTTTTAAATGGTGAATGGCATTGCTCCTTTGAGAGTAACAGTCAAGTTTAACTTGACCAGCAAGCTTACATGCAATAAAATTAAATTGTATGATTTCTACCCTGATTTACACAGTATATTATCTGTATCATATAAAATGCAATTTCTGTTGTTTAGCATATTTTAAAATGTCAAGGAAACTATGTCTAGAAATGGTCTGTTTCACATTGGCCTATATATGACTTGCTTTGTGCTGATTTTCAGTTAATGTTGAAGTTCATTATTTTATTCAGTGCCTCTAAATAAACTACTAGATTCATAATTGGTTAATGGTTTGTGGAACAGACTGACCTCCCAACTTGGTAAGTAGACCATTTCAGTCCTGGAGCATTATTTAGAAGTTTATTTTAATTAAACTTACCTGTGTAATTGGAATAATGCGTTGTTTGCCTTGTTTTAAACGCAGAAAGGTCAGATGCAACTATCTGTATGCAATTCCTTTTAAAATTTTACCTCAGTTCCAAAATCCTGTCTTTTCAATATGTCAAAATATTGAAGGGATATTGAAGGGATATAAAGAGTCTTACCTGGGCCGTTTTTTGAAAGCAATGTTCAGGAACAGTTTAGAGTTTAGCACAATGGCATTTTACATGGTTTAAGAAATTAAGAAATTTTCCTTCCATAAAAGAAAATGAACAGTCCATTCAGGGCAGGGGTGGGTTCCTGCCAGTTCTAACCTCTTCTATAGAAGAGGTTCCACAAATCTACTGTGCCGTTTAGAACCGGTTCCAGCTCCCTCCCCCCGCCCGTCCCCACATCATCAAGATGAAGAACGAGAGGAGGAATTCTGGGAGTTGAAGTCCACAAGTCTTAAAGCTGTCAAGTTTGAACAATAGTTTTTTTAAAAAGGGTTAGGGGTGCAAGGGTCTTGTAACTTGACAGTTTTAAGACTTGCGTGCTTCAAATACCAGAGTTTCTGAGACAACATTTTGGTTGCTAAGCAAGAGTGTTGTTAAGTGAGTTTCACCACATTTTACAAGTTGGCTATGCCCACCCGGTCACATGGCCAGCAAGCCACTGCCACAAAGCAGGCCACACCTACAGAAGAGGTTCTAAAAATTTTTTGAAACCCACCACTGATCCAGGTACAAACAAAGATGTCCTCTCAGGCATTCTATCCTTTGGGTCCCTAAAATCAGAAGGGTGCCCCCCAATGTTATTGTTTTTCCCTCTGTGATTGCACAAAACTATATTAGCAGAAGACTTCATATCACTATGTAAAACACACTGCAAATATATAGAACAGATTCTCTCCCTCTGTTTTTTAAAAAAATTCCTTTTATATGTTTCTTGCGCATCCTGCTGTTAAATACCCAAAAGAAAAAGACCAAAACATCTAGTTTGTCTGCTGTGTGGTGATAACGTGGAAGTTGGTCCCATTTCTTTTATTTTGGTATCAGTTTGCCAGAGAGACAGAAATACTAATAAATTATAAACTTGGGGATCAAATGCTAATGGATCCTGGCAGAATGATCATAATGATGCCACCAAAGCAAACTATTTAATTGAGCATAATTGCACTAGAAAAATCTTAGGGATAAGAAAGGAAATGCCAAAGTGTAAAAACCAAAGAGTACAAAAGAAGCAAGTGGGTGGGAGAGATGGATGGGTAATTGAAAGCTTTTCTAAATATGACTTGAGAATATTTGGGAGGCAGGGGAAGAGAAGAGTAAGGGAAATGCCAAAAACCAGTTGGACAAAACCCGTAAGCTTTTTGCCTTATCTATGGGAATCAGATGATGTGTGTCATGCTAGTTTTTATAGTCATCGCCCACAGTCTTACCCTGATAAAATCAAATTTGACAGTAGCACAATATAGAGGTTTAACTGACAGCACACACAGCACATTTGCTAGTCATAATGCCACAGTTTAATGACTGACGCATCTGGGAAGCTAATTCAGATTTTTCTCTCTCTCTCTCTTTTTGAATGGGATAAAGGAGCATCCAGTTAATTCCAACCCTCAATTCAAGCCTTGTAACAAAACTGATGCTACATACTCTGTTCTTGTTCTGCATATTCTGCAAATTGAACTACAGGAGCTACAGCCACTCTGTACATACATCCGGAGAGAAAATTCATTTTGTAGTTTGTATATACACCAGCTTGTTACTTTTTATGTCAACGAAGTAACTGGCCTTAATTGTTAAATAGCCCATGAATTACAAATGGTGTGCCTGTTTTGAGAAAAATTACAGGTTACAGAATTTTACAAGCAGATATAGTATAAATAAAATATTCATATAAAAATAGTCTCTTACAAAATATATTCTTTTATCCCATGGTTCATTTTCCAAAGGTGGAAACTTGTCTGGCGTTTTGCATTAGGTCATGTGTTATTTTCAACTGGATTTTTGAAATGATCCTTTTAAAAAAAAATTGGAAAAATTCTGTACTGTGATATCTAGAGGAATGAATAGCAATTTGAGATTCCAGACAACTAGCAGCATACAGCCCAAAATTATAAAAGATGCCTGCTTTTGTACTTAATACCTGCAGAAACTATCCTGCATTTGCAACTAGTAGAAATACCTAAGTAAACAATAATATATACACCTCAAGGGGTTTCCCCTCTACTGAATCTACAAAAATGATTCCACAAAAAAGCAGGCTATCTACTTTAATTGCAGAATGCTTCCAAAAAAAATGGTGGTAGAGAGTTTTTAATTAAATAAATTAATATTAGTTTTATCTCAAAAGTGATTAAATATTGCTATAATTATTATGCTGAGATTTCCCAACACGCTGTGCTAAAATCAGCAGCAGAGCAGAAAAGCAGCTAAACCAGTGTTTATATGGGAAGCACCCATTGGTCTACTTGCATTAGCACAGGCTGAAGAATGGGAATACAAGGAACAACCAACAAGGAACAACCAACGAAAGTTTTTTTCACAAATATAGAAATCCCTACAACTGCATAATTCACACTCTTTCAATGGAAATTCACACAGGTGCATTGTCCCCCGATTGTGGACAAAGCCCCTCTTAAAATATGACTTTTTTCTCAGATCACACTTTAGGCACGTTGCATGGTCTTCTGTTCATTTTCATCTGGCGTCGTGAATGCCGCCTCCAAGGAAATTCAATTTTTCCCACAATTTTAAGGCAGTCCGTAATGTTTGGATGGCCCAGATTGAGTATTTCTCCAATGTATTTCATTTTTGTATAGTTTGCATTAGCTAAAGTTTTGCATTAAGCAAATAGTTTGTTTCTGGATTCCTTTTAAAGATCTGGGCATAGTGTTTGGGCTGTTCCCAAAAGTCTTTGACCAATATCCACATAAACACTGTTAAAAGGGAGGAGAGGAAATGGGATTATTTTACTGGATTTTCTTTTGGAAATCATTTGGGCCTTTGCTACAGTATTATTTAGATACACTGAGCTTATGTGCAAAAAAAAAGGTGTGTACTCCAAGGCTTTAGGTTCCCCTGCCAAAGCCACGCTTTCATTTACAGGTGTAGACTTCTGTTCGTTCACTGCATGTGTTACATTTGACGTAACAGCACCAGTGAAATTTGCAGTTGCACTGCCAGACTCTGGAATATTGATGCGTATTATAACCTCGTCCACAACACATCAGGTCACAGCCATTGGTTTGCTGGGCTGTTTTGTTGCACATTCTGCCCTGTGTACCCACACTGCCAGTCACAGGATCCTCTTCACAGTAGTTGGGTGATTTCTCTATGTAGACTAAGTCTGTATCCATCGGTTTACGATAGGAGAGTGGTTTCTTTATCTTCAGAAAAGTGGGACGCTTATTACGACTTGCCCGCACGGGTTCAACCTGAACAGCTTCGTTGTATTTCTCCTTAAGGATATAGCCCAGCTCCCTGAATTTAGGAAGAGTTGTCCAGCATGTTTTAGTAGTGCATGATCCTGACACTCCATGGCACTTGCACTCCAACTTCATGTTATCTTCAAGGATCTGGAGTGAAAAGAAAAGAAGACATGATGTTTGAAACAAAGGAGGGAGGAAGATTTGGAGGCAAAATTAAATTATTGAAGAACTCACAATCCAGTATAATTATCCACACTTCTGTTTTTACACCATCTACATGATGCTTTCAATGATAAAAACATGAACATGTTTTATAAAGCCAGAACAGGCGCACTATACTAGCAGTTGTGTTATGGTTTGTGTTCTAGGGTTGTGAGGTATTGCAAATTTAGCTCAATTGTATTTTAACTCCTTGCAAATTGTTTTGTTCAAAAAAAAGTATTGCAAATCTTAGATATTTTTAACAGAATTTGTTCCATATCTTAAAACATAAAAGCAGCCTGTTCAGTCTTTAAAAATATATTATTTTCAGCAAGTTCAATAAATGGGAAATAAATTGAGTATGAAAATATATTGGACAAACCTAACCATAGTGAATGTTCTTACAGATAGATATACATTCCATTTTGGAGTAGGAGAACCATTGCATCCCCCCAAAATATATGCTAGCTGAGATCTTAATAACTGTCACTAGCATCAAAAGTGAAGTACAGGTAGAGATATTAAAAAATCTGGAAATTTTTGATGCAATGAAACACCTTGTCTTACAAAAACTATTAGAAATTTGGAAAGAAATCTAAGTATATGCCATGTTTCCTTTTTATACATATAAAGTCTCTTTCTACAATGTTTTATGTATATAAAACAACTGTGAGATAAGTTGAGCAGAGTGAAACTGACTGGTCCAAAGTCAGATATTGTGGGACTTGAATCTGCGTGTTCCCAGCCCAAGTAACCCATTACAATACACTGATTCTCAATTCAGTTCAAATGGCTAAATGCCAATAAATATTCTATATTTTTGCACACAAAAAAATAACATTAAAAAAACAGCAAATACAGTGGTGAAAAGCTCCACAATTTAGAAATCAAAAGTTCTGAAGAACTTCAGAATATTCCATTCACACCCTTCCTCCAAACCTTCCCAAACTCTACTAGATCAAGGCATTTTGAAAATGGCTCAGCAATTTTTGAAGTAAATCCCCTAAAGAGAAAGTGAGTTGAGGTATTCCAGGCTTACTTGTCCCTATCTTCAAGACATCTCAAACTGTTTCTAATCCAGAAGATATTTTGCCACCAAAACACTTTGAAACACATAGACTAGAAGAGTTTCAGTATGTTCCAGAGATGGAGTAGAACAGGAATGTCAAACACAAGACCCGGGGGCCATATGCAGTCCATGGGGTGCTTAGATCTGGCCCATGGAGCCCCCCCTGAAAGAGCAAAGGACCGGCCCATGGTGCCTCTACCAGTGAAAATGGAGTTCAGGAGGGCCACCCTTTGCTGGCAAAGGATTGCAGGAGGCCATCGCAGCTGAAAATGGAGTCCAGAAGACTGTTTTCACTAGCAGAGCGCTTGGTGCCCCCGACATGAGTGATGTCGAGCTGTTTATGCCCACCCTGGCCATGCGCACCCTGGCAACGCACCCTGTCCCCCCCAAGGTCAACTACAACCCTGATGTGACCCTCAAATCGAGTTTGACACCCCTGGAATAGAATGTTTCAGAGGAGTTTTTTTTAACAATATTCCAATCCCAAATTAGTCAGTTTTTCTTTTTTCTAATCAATACTGTATATGTCTAGTTGTTGTCTTGTGTTCTGAACAGAACACAGTGAAAGTTGTGTGGAAATAAATTTGGAATATATATCTTTAACTGTAATCTCATGTTATACCCAGAAGTGCCATTATTTTCAGTTTCTATATTTATTTTCATCCTTTATTTTCCAATTTCTAATTTTTACGAAAATGAAATGTTACTTACATTGTGCTAAACACCACTATTCTTTTAATGTTGTTTTACTGATTGATTTGCTATGGTGTCATATCTGGCCCAATTTCTTACCTATCACAATCATTTTATGTATCATTAATAAATAAGTTTCCAAGGTGTTGCCAAGAAACAAAAATGTATCTCTATTACACATTCAAGCAGCCCTATCATTAGGATGTTTTAAAAAAAACCTGGCTCCCTTAAGAATTTAGAAAGAAACTCTAAATTCTAAGGCCCTTCCAAATCATTTTTGAAATATGTACAGCCTGAAAACAGAGCATTGTAGGAAGGCTAAAGTAGGGTCTATCACAAGGAAACCCTGCCCAGAGTCTAGCCTAGTATCTATAGGCAATTTAAATAAGGATACTTAAATAAGATTTCCAGTTTACCCTCCATTGAATAGGTTGCATTCTCAGAAGCACCAAACATATCTTGAGATGTAAAAAAAAAAAAGGTTTTAGTTTGGGAGAGCAACCATTTAATGCTGCTGTTCTAAGTATTATGATTTTCTTTATGTACACCATAGTGCATATTATTTTAATCACATTCTAATGATATAAATTATGCTTTGCAACATCCTTCGCCTTTCCATTCGCACATGCTCAAAAAGTGGCAAAGGCAATAACCTAATCTGCGCTCATTTTAAAATCTCATACTTCTGTACTCTGATTAAGCTTGTGGCTTTGATGAAAGTAGAGTACACTTTTACAGTGTCCAAGTTCCAATTCAGCCCACGGATAGACAGAGACATGACTACAGAGGGAATCAACAGCTCCATTTGAAAGAGCTGAGTAAGCTGCTGCAGAGGATCAATAGCTAAAAAGTCTCGTGACATATGTTGAGCTTGCTGTTCTCCGGATTGTATGTTGATGCCAGATGAAACAAGTCCTGTTTAATTCATTCTGATATTTCCTTCCTCATTTTAGACACAGATACTGTAAATGTATATCGCTGATAGGGATATGCACTGATAATAAGATTTGGATCAGGCACAAATTTCTTCTCCTGTGAAATAGCGAAGTTTAACTTAGGAAAAATCAGAGACTACTTGATTTGATCCAGGATCCAAATCTAATGCGAGTTGCCCCTTTTCCAATGTCTCTAATGAGTATGGAATTTAGAGTGCTTTCACTACTTTTGTGAGGAGCTCTACTTTAACTAGCATCTCAGTCTCAGTATATTATGGTGCTCTGTGTTCCCAAAACATTATGGCAGAGTTGAACTATACTAGCCTTTGACTTTCAACAACAATTGGAATCAGAATTTTCCTTACTAAGCAAGGCAATTGTTGCACCTGATTTTACGACCTATTTTGCCACAGTTGTTAACCAAATTACTGCAGTTGGTAAGTGAACCACACAGTCATTAAGAGAATCTGGCTTCTCCCATTGACTTTGCTTGCTGGAAGCTGGTTAGGAAGATGGAGATCACATGATTCCAGAACACTGCAAATGTTGCAAACATATGCCAATTGCCAAGTGCCTGAATTTTGATCATCTTAGTGGGGTGATGCTACAATGGTTGTAAATGTGAGGACTGTTTGTAAGTCAATTTTTATAGTGCCAATGTGATTTCAAATGGTCACTAATTGAAAGGCCGTAAGTCAAGGACTATCTGTATGTGTATATTGCCTCACTATCATAGGTGAACTGAAGGGAAGCATCTTCCTTGAAGCATTTCAAAAAGATACTTGGATCAAAGCTTCATGAAAGCAACTGCATACCTTTAAAACTCCACATGTCACCATAACCTTTTAACTTTTTTATAGCATGGAATTAAATGTTCAGATAGTTTAAATGCTTTTGAGTGGAATATTTTGCCCAGTTTCTGAAAAACAGTAGCAGTGGTTTTGGAGCTAAGCTCCATGTAATTAAACCAGAAAGTTCCTGTAACTGTTGGTTCTGAAATGTGTTTAAACACGATAAATTCGTCTCTGTTTCTTAGTGAACAATTTCTATGAAAATTGAAGTTATTGTAGAGGTGCCCTGCTGTCAAGAGACCTCCCTAATTTAAGGTGGATTAAGAGATTTCAGTGTTTAAATTGTGATTTTTCTAAAAGGAAAATAAGTGCTTTTAACTTCATTGAAACTTGGCCATAATTATATAATATTTGCTAAATGGGAACTCTTAATAGTGTAAGTTTCTGTTAGGTTCAGAAAAGTGAATTCCTAGTTCTCAATGTGTATACAAGTATTTTGATTTGAAGGTCATTCCTAAATCAACTAATGTTCCTTAGACAATGTCTTCTGAACTTCAGAAGTGGTTCTTAAAATATTCCACCCAGATTTATTCTTTCTCCTATCTGCTTTTCTTCCCTCTGCATATTCCATAGATGTATTTGCCTCTCCACGCTGCTCAGACAATGAGTCTTCTAGTGGTCCCAATTCTGTTTATTCCAAACCAGATCAAAACTTCTTCTTTTTACTTGGTACTAGAGCAAGTCCCATGCATTCTGGCTAACATCTAGATCTAGGACAATCTCAGTAAGAAATGTATTCTTTGAGGTATCTGAAATGGCAGCTCCCTAAATTTATTAATCTTTTCTGTAATATTTTCAACTCCATCTCCTGGAATACAAAACTGCATCCTGACCCAATGCCAAAATCACCATTGTAATATGTGCTACCTCTGTCAGATTTTTAGCCATCTCAATACTGCTAACTCTGTCAGCTTTTTAGGTCTAATGACAGGCAATTGTGATTACACCTAAAAAGCTGTAAATCAGATTGGACTGGCATGGGAAATCAGACAAAGCCAGATGTAAAGTCTCCAAATTTCAGGACTCCTCATCATGAGTCAGCAGTGTGCTCCAGCTGCCCCAAAAAAAAGTCAATGCAGTCCTAGGCTGCATCAAAAGAAGAATACTATCAAGATTGCGTGAAGTATTAATGCCACTCTATACTGCCTTAGTAAGATTGCACTTGAAATACTGTATCCAGTTCTGATCACCACAATATAAAAAAAGATGTTGAGACTGTAGAAAGAGTGCAGAGAAGAGTAACAAAGATGATGGAGAGGGCTGGAGACTAAAAAGTATGAAAAATAGTTGCAGGAACTGGATATCTCTAGTCTAACAAAGAAAAGGCCTAGGGGGTGGCATGACAGTACTCTTCCAATATTTGAGGCACTATTACGGAGAAGAGGAGATGAACTTATT